AAACATGGTTACTGGACCATTCCTGGAACATTGTTGTCATGGTGATCAACGGTCTTTACAATACACATACATAGTTTAATCTTTAATGGCTCTGCTCCATACCCTGTTGCAAACCGCTAGTTCCTCAATCCAACAGAACTATTCCTCTTTTTCAAACAGATTTAGTAGTGTTGGGCAATCTCACAGAAGCAGAGCATGTCCCGTACACTGAGTAACAGAAAAACAGGAACATTTAACTAATTTAACCTCATCTAATAAACCTTACAATCATTACTTTTAAGAATTAACTTCTGGTTACATTTCATTCATTTTACCAGAGGCTTTTACTTTAATTACTCATGATTCACTCATTAGTTACAGTAGCTAATACAACGGGTTATAGGAAATCAGCATGCTATATACCAGAATTATGATTTCACTTGCTAAACTCGTGAGATCCCTTTTTTGACAACTCCTCCTAGAGATCGAACCTTGTGTCTGTTAGTCCTGATCAAACAGGGACTCTATTCTGCAAAAAGGAAGAGGACATCCTCCTCAAACTCTAAGTCCTTTATTCGTTGTAGCGGATTTGGCGCAGCCTCAGTCAGCAGTCCCCATCTTTTCCATACGAGGAATAGGTGCTTCATTTTTGTCATACACCATGTACCTCCTCAGAAAATATTAGGCTCTCCAAGTACCACTGTTATGACCAATATTAAAATATAGTAGGCCTAACCTATTCAGCTACAGACAGTTCATGCAAGAGATTGATTTATTCCTAATAAGAAAATGATTTATTGTTGACCGTTGTCAGCCACAGCCATGCTGTACAAAGGTGTAGAGCTAGAACAGGCACTTCTACACACACTGGTGTATAGATATAGACCCTGCTAAACTCGCTCCACCTCCTCCAACTAAACTCTACTGTGGAAACTTCTAGTGATCATGTTTCTCCTGAGTTAATTTCATCATTATGAGCAGTTGATTATATAAAGGAATTGTGAAGCTTATTAATGATCCCAGAACCTGAGGGAAATGTAAGAGCACACAGACACACACAGTATCAGTGTGTGTGTGTCTCTCTCTCCCAGCTGAAGCCTCATGACTTGTTACAGTTTAAAAGTTTATTTGTTTGTCACCACAATATCAACACCGATCATCACATAATGATCGATACTTTAATTAATGAGTTAAATCTTTATTCAGAGCAGAGCATTCATCAGCCGTCAGGCTCGCTCTCTTCCCCTCTCTCTCTCTCTATGTCTCTCTTCCACACACACAAACAGTGTGATGGGACACGTGTATAAACTTAGTAAATGTATTCAGAGCTGGAGGAGATGGCGGCGTGCTCTGTTTGGTTAGACGCCGTTGGCACAGCACACAGCATGAATGACAGAGACACAAGAGACGATGTAAATTACTGACAGAGCTCCTAAAAAATATTTTTCACGGTCCAAACATTAATGAAAAGACCCCACATTAACACTGTAAGTGGACAGGGTGGAGCTGTGCATGGCTCCCTGGTGTCTGCCCAACTTGGTGGTGCTGCGGCCGGGCTGCGTGCCTTCTCCTGGCTGCGGAGCTGTCCGTGATCTCTGTGTCTGTAGCCAGGGACTGTAGGGACATATCGCATGTTTTCCTAATATCGTGCAGCCCTAATGCGATGGTTTCATGGATTAATTGCTGAGAACATTGCCACACACCACACACTGAGCCCTGGGCTCTTCCTCCGTCCCGCTCGAACTGAATCCAAATTGGAGGTAACTCGCTTCATATCTCCTTACGTTTTGTGCCGTTTGACGTAACGTAGCTACTAGCATTTGCTCGTTTTACTGTCGGCGGCTATTTCACTTTCAACACTTTTATCTTTTTAATATTTACCTTTTTAATTGTTATATTAGATTTTAATCAGTGCTGTATGCTTTGCGCTTACTAAATCATTGCAAGACATGTACAATTAAAGACAATTAGAGAAGTTGCCTGAGACTCTGATCCTTTAAATGGAGAGCTGGTCAGAAACTCCTGATCAGGGGTACACTGGGATCTATCACAGTCCATGTGCTCCTTGTGTGTGTGTGTGTGTGTGTGTGTTTACTCACCCTCCAGCACTACCTCCCCACATGAAGCTCCCCAAGAGGCTTCCAGGGCCTAACCTCATTTGCGCACATCACAGCAACTTGGGACTGGGCTGACAGGCTCATTTTCCCCACTCTGCATGGAGCAGCGCAGCAGCACTGCCGAGGAGCAACCAGGCACCCGGAGTGGTTTTGTAATTAGCTGCTTGCTCTCTGCCACTAATGTACAGGGAGCAAGAGCCTCCTTGTGAGTGTGTACGGTTGCCAAGCACTCAGCATGTGCAAGTCACAGCTGATGATAATATGTAGGTGTACAGTATATATGTTGACTGAGGTCGCAGGTGACAGGCTGGAGCAAGGTGAGAGAGGAAGGCGGGCGGAGTTGCAATCGCATGTAAGATAGCGCTCGCTGTCTCACCACTCAGCAGGTGCGAATTGCGCCCAAGGCCAGTGGTTGATTGCTTTGATGTCAAATGATTTCGTTTTAAGTGGCTCCGGGGTGCATGGAGCACAGGCACCTCCCTGGTCTCGTTGTCACATGGTCATCTGGGCTTATAGGTTAGCCAGTGTCACACCACACTGCCCCCCCCCCAAGGATGCAGAGGGCTGGTGGCTGATGTAGCTGTTGGTACATAACATGGTTTATAGGGAGTGAGAACACAGCTGCTGGTTGCATCTCCAGGTAATAGGGCCTGTTCCTGGCAAGGAGGTGAAAATGAAACAGAGAGGAATGGTGTCCCTGGGAAAGGTTAGCAAGGGCACATCCTCATAAAGAAATGTCCCTTTAATGTCAGATAATAAAGTAAAAGTATAACTGTTTAGACGCATTACATAAGATTAAGATCTGCAAGAAAGAGTGATCAGTGCAATCACCATAACCTGCTGTTTTAAACAATACTAGGTCATACAAGCCTTCTGTTGCAAGCTGTTCAACATCACATCCATTATTACATTTATAAAAACAAGCTCATTCTTGTACGGGCAGATTCAGAGCATTTTCAGGTGGGGGAGCGCAGGAGGTAACAACAGTTAAACTGGGAGGGGGGGCACCCAAAAGTGACAAAAATGAAGGTCGACACCAGCGTCTCTCTTCAATATTTGGACTACTAAATGGAAACAATTACTTTTCCTATATTGTACACTTAAAATGTATTTATGTCTTCATCTTGCTCATTCACCTTGTAATGAAGGTACATAATGTATGAACTTTAATTTTCCACTGTCAACATAAAAATTCCGATGGGCATTTCCCATGTTTACAATATTCTCATCAACTTCTGGTTTATGTGTAATTAAGTAGCTTATTTAGTTTGGCAGAGCCGCAGAACCACTTCCTGTATCTATTTAAAAATAAAAGCCCTAAAGAGTTTTATACATGTATAAATGTAGTATCTAATGTAGTATAGGGCTGGGCTGTGCACAACCTTGCGTCTGTTTAATCATACAATGGTAAAACAGTATGAAGACCTGTCCCTGCAAATAAGTAAATTCTGGCTGTTACGAGGCCATGCAGGATTACCATGTACACAGTGTCTAATCTCATTCCGTCCTGTCTCCCTACCACTGCTGCGCTCCGCTGTCCTGTCTCCATAGGACAGACAGCATCTGTTGTTCAGCGACGCTTGTACAGTGCAGAGAAAATCCACCGAGTGTAGAGGTGGAAATGGAGCGATCAATTAGATTTTAACAAATGACTTTCTGTGTATTACCCAGCAGCTGTTAAATCGGTCAACCTTAGCATTCGCACCCCCGCCTCCCTTCAGAGGGGACGGAGGAGAGGAGAAGCAGGGCTTGTCGGCTCCACGTGCTACATTGTGGCAAACTGCAGAGAAAGTCAGCTGTGGCCCGGGGCAGGAGTGTGTTGTGCGAATATAGCGGGGCTGTGAGATGGAGGGACGGAGAAAGGAGGTGGGTCAATTGGACCCCAGAGGGCCAGGAGATGGGCATGATGTGCATGGAAGTCCAGAGTTACCTTAGAAGGCAAAGGCTGACCAGACCATTTATTCACTTCCTCTGCTATTAAATATACAAATACAACACATCCCACTGTCTCTTACACATTGGCACACTCACAATCATACACACACAGTGCATATATATACATAAATGCAGAAACAAGTGTGCATGCACAGGAACAAATTTACTTCAGAAAGGATAGACCTACTTTTAGTCTAGAACCTCAGTCTTTAAGGGTACAAGCACAACTCAGCAAGTTGGCTCCCTAAATGATGTAGTTTTATGGTAAAGTGCTACTAATGGCTCAGAAGAACAATCTGAAAGGCCACTTAAAAGCTCACAAGCCCATAAACTGCGTGACACACAGCAGTGGGGTCTGACCACACAATCTTCATTTGAGTGATTGAATGCATCGTGCATGTGAGTGTGTCAGAGGTATGGAGGGTGAGAGAAACACAAAGACAGCCTGTCTATATTCTCCAATTGCTACCAGATTGGAAATAGGTGACAGCGCTTGGATGTGTGATGATGCAGTAGGAAGTTATTCTCACCTAGATTCATATAACATAACACTTGTATGTTTTCATCACAGGTCTGAGGGCTGTACTACCAGAAAGAAACACAGCACTTTTCAAAAAAAACATCCTTTTTCTGTTGCAATTTAAAACCATAGACAATAGTTAAATCAGTAGAAAAGAACTACATCTTTCCAATTGCACATCACCGCACACAGGCACTGTAATCACCGAGCACAATAGAGCAAAAAAGCCTCTACTTATGGAAAGTACTGTATAATGGCAGAGAGGTTGGCGAAGTCTACCATTAAGTTTTGATAAGATGGTTGCCATGCTAACCCGACTGGAGAAGGAATAAAATAAAAAAATCGGGCACAAGTAGGTAGGTCTTTTTAAAAGTAATACAAAAATATTGACTGCACGGCTATGAAGGACAAAATAGATGAATAAATACAAATATAGATAATTTAAGTTTACTTGTGTATCTATACATTTATTTATTTGTGTGTCCATATGTTAACTAGGTAGGCAGGCTAAACTCAGTGTCAAGCCGGGTTGGTTATAGTGGTGTGATAATCGGGTCTACCACTTTGATGGATCCTTCATTGCCCAGGAATGGAAGGATGCATTTGTCAGCCACATTTGGGACGGCTGAGTCGCAACACTATGACGCAATCCGTCTCCGAAGGATACTGCCCCTGAATTGAGACATAAATACAATTACATTGTAATATAAACAATATCACATATTCATAACAGGTCAGTGATTTGATTCCTACATTTTTTTATCCATCCATCTATTTTCTACACCACTAATCCTCACAGAGGTACTGGAGCCAATCCCAGCTGACATTGGGTGAGAGGTTGAGTTCACCCTGGACAGATTGCCAGTACATCACAGGGTTAACATATAGAGAAAAACCTTCCCACTCACAGCTATGGGGGAACTTTGAGTCCCTCATTAACCTAAGCTGCATGCTACAGGATGAAGCTGGAGAAACTCATGCAGACTTTCAATCATATAAACTCCACAGAGAAAGACCCTGCATCGGCCGGCAGATCCGAAACCAGAACCTTCTCGCTGTGAGGCAACATTGCTAACCACTGTGCCACGCTCTTACATTTGTGTCTCTTGTTTTTACCACTTGTAAACATGAGATTTTTACTTTAAGTTTGTTTGCTTTTCTGTGTTTTTAATTAAATGTGGCTGACTGAGTTAGTGCGATGAGTTTTTCATCCAGGCCTTTCAAAACATCCAAATTAATAATGAGCTTTTGAACAGATTAGATTCTGTCTGAGAGTCTCTCTGCACACAGCGAGAGGATATTCACACAACAAAAACTGCTGCTCTGACTCATCCTGATAAGGCAAAATGTAATTTTGTTTATGATGAGAATTACTCTCTAAATTAATTTCCACAGCAATTAATCCTGATGTCTCACCTATAAGATGCATTCTGCTCTTTGGGAGAGGTGATAAAATGCAAAATAATTGGATTGATTATTTTATATATTTTTATAATGACCAAGCAATAATCGTTTTCTCTTTAATGGAGTTTTTTCCATTATGTGCGGCCTATGATGTCAGTGATGTTCAATAGCCTGTGGGCTCTCAAATATTTAATAAATATCCCTTTATTGTGCTTCATTCCATAGGTGAAGCTCAAGTATTGTCTCTCGTGTCCAAAGTGCTGTTCATATCCCCCTCCCCCGTCTGTCACCAACCCCCAAACCTAATAAAGCCATTGTGGGGCATTTCTTAATTAAACCTTTATTTATCTACTTGATTGTTATATAGGGAGGGACAGGGTTAAGTCTGCGATTTTCTATCTCATATTGGGAGTTGACTGGTTTCAGCCCTGGGGGAATATAATCTGAACATCAGGCCCACTGAGCGCTATAGTTTGCATAGGCGTTTAAGCTAAAGGCTTAATAATGAGAAGGTGAGACAGCCAGTCATCCTTCAGAGGGATGGAAACTAATGAGATGAGGATATGAAACAGAGGAGGGAGAAGGGCTGAGGAACAAAAGGTTGAATGAAAATAATAAACAAAACAGAACAATCCAGACCTAAAAATGTATTAATATTTTTGGATGAAATGATGCAAAAATGCATAAGTCTGCAGGCGGAATCACAGTAACTTCTCACTAGCACAATACGGAAGAAAAGAACCGAGCCTTATTACCTTGGACATTTTGTTTCAGTGGCTGGGGGGAGAAAGCAATTACATTAACAGCAGTGAAGAACAAATCTTTTGAAGGTGAACAAGTCTGAATTTCAATATTGTAATTTTTTCAGCACTCAGGAGTCTGGGTATGATGCATTTTCTTCATTTAAGTCTGTTACCTTTATTATGAAATATGCAAACCTCAGAAGTTGCTTCTCAGGATTTGTTGTTGATTTTGTGCACAAAATTATGCAGACTGTGCACATTTCTGTTCTTTGGTTTGCCAAATTTCACCCCCGTTTGTTTTAGTTTGACTATCATGCATGTCCCACATATACCATACTGGACCATTTTACACAGAAGCTGAATGAAATGTTGAGAGAACAAACAAAAGCAGCAGGGAGACTGGGATATTCAGAATATTATATCAATGGTAGAACAGTTAGAAAACATTGAAATACTAATGGTATTGGCAGACATTTGCCTGTTTTCACATCCAGCAGTCATAAAACATTATCATTTATATGAAGTATATAAAGTAAATCACAATTTAAAATCAGGTATACAGTGGCCTATACTCTCCTTTTAGTTACATTTTGGTCTCCACCATTTCTTGGGGGCTTATTAGCTGTGGTGTACTTCACAGTGTCTTACTCTCATAACTCATACAAAATACATAGATCCTAATCGTCTTTAAATAGCTCTTCTTTACTTTTTTCCCCTTCCAGAGTTATGCACGTTTTATGGCTCCACATTGGATTAGCCAACAGTTGCATGGCAACCAATTTTTCCATACACCCTTTGAGTTGTCAGAGTTGCCAATGACATTCACGGTCTCACTTTGCATGTGAGCAAGAGAAATGTGTATCTCGTATGTTCACAGCAGCCTAAACCTGTAAGAGGTAATTTCATGTTGTAGCTGGATTTACAAATCCCTTTGTTAAAAACATTTCTTTCAGTAATTCACATTGATTAAAAAAACGGGAAAAACATAACATAACAGTAGGTTTAAACAAAATATGCAGTAATGCTACACTTAAAAAAGAAAATTGTTCTACCAACTTAAAAAATATACTAGTTATTTAACACATATGAATTGAGTTTTTTCAACTTAAAGTTGACAAGATATAGTAATACAATAAGATTCTTTATTTTTTAAGAATATAATTCATTTTTAAATTATGAATTGAAGTATGTGTTTATCTTTTTTTACTCCATGTACTTGGTTATAGTTTAAATGTTTTAATAGGTCACATCAACATGAAGATTGATTATATTTCGGAAAGGGAAACTTCACCACTGTTGATGTGCTGACATTTGATTTACAAACTAACATTTTATGAAATATGTTTCGTGGGTAAAACAGAGGAGGGAGGACACAACATATAAATTCCGCTACAAATATCATGTTTTTGTTGACAGAATTTTGTTTACTGACATTGGGCCTGACATCAAAAATTCATTTTAAAAATGAGCTGGCAGGAAAATTTACAGTAAATGTTTGGAGCAAGTGACTCTGATATTTATATCGATATTCTCACATACAGTCCCTCTGGAACATTTCAGGAAAATATCCCTTGTGGTCTGTGATGCATCTCTAATAGATTGAATGTAATTAATTCATCAATCTAATGTTGTCTCACTTATACTTGTCCAGTTCACAGAAAATTACAGTTGATAAACAACTGGTGTTTAAAATAAACTGTTGTAATCAGTTTATTTAAAGACTTGCCAGTGAACATGAGTATGGTTGCATGCTCCATTCTCTTTTGTCTCAAGCTTTTGTTCACAACTTGTAAGGAAGTGACAGAAGGGTCATGGAAAAAAGTTCTGTATTCATGGAATACGCTATTTATTTCTTATCTTTGACTTGCACTAGCACTACATTCTAGATGACATTGAACTAGAAAACTTTTAACTGTATCCTACTAAACCTGTGGTGTATTTGTTCAGATGACTTGTACATTATTGAATACTGAATTGAGGATTGAGGATCCTACACGTGTCTTCTGAGCCCCTGGTGGCCAACATGTGGAATTCTATTACACCTAAAAATAAATGCCAAGTAAGTCCTTATTAAACATTCCTCTGCTCCTCACTCCCCCTCCTCGTCCACCTACCCCAACTACCCTCCTCACCCCCAGCCGAGAACAGCTTAGGTCATTACAGTCTGCTGTCAAAACTTGTGACCACTCCGCATTGGAGCCGCAAGGATTAAGGGCTGTGAAAACAAGAACAAGGAGGGAAAAGAGGTGAGGGCTGACAGAGGGAGCAAGGCCTTAAATATTTTCTCTTTCTTCTCGTCTTTTTTCCCCTGCCACAGTTGACCACGTGCTGATTCTTGCAGCTACTTTGCGGCGGACTGCACTAATGTGAAGGGATATGGAGTTACATGAAAAACACGGAGAGGGAGTCTGTTGCCCTGAAAGTGAGGAGCAAACCTCTCCTGACTACTGAGTCATAGGTATCAGGACTCATTACTGTATCCTCTCCTTACAGCAAACACAAGTAAATGACTGTTAAAGAAGGTTAACTTTGCAGAATTAGCTGTTAAATGACCTAAACCTCATCAGGTTTCAAGAAAAATTGTCATTTTAGCTGCAACTAAGTCAGAATATGTTGGTTAGAATACTCTAATCGCCTCTCCATTGTTGTACTTCCCTAGTATAATAAGAGTTTGATTGGTTGACTGATTGATTGAATCTAGGGTAAAATGAAGCTGCATGCTGAGATGTATAGTGCTTTATTCACATTCAGAAATTATAATGGTTGACAACAGCAACATTTTCATTCTTATTCAGACACTTTAAGATTGAAGGTTTGAGGCATCTTCCTCACATCACTTCCTGTGTCGTTTTCTATTTAAGTGAATAAAAAGTCTCAGACTTTTGAACCCCACTGTATATATATGTGTGATGTTATCTGAAAAGAGATGCCATGCAGGTGTCAGCAGCTGCACAGAAGATATTTGACTTTATCTCAACCGTTTACTTCTATGTTGACCCTATCAGGACTTTCCAATTTCAGCCCCAACAAAAGATCATTCTCTGCCTTCCCTGTCTGAGGAGAGTACAATATTTCCTCTTTTTTTTTTAAAAGCACAGCCCTAACAGGATGCGTTCCCTCCATCTCTGCATATCGTATCCAGCAAATTGGACGGCATAGAACTGAACCGTTACTCCATTATCCAGTGACATTGATTTGAAATGAGTGTGAAATCATTTGTCTGTTTGGACTTGCTCTCCTGTGGAGTGGGCCTGTTTGGTGTTTTATTTACCGTCACCTCCATGCCCAGAACTCTGTTAATCCTCTGTTTGTGTTCAAACACCTTAGCTGGTTGCTGTGCGTCAGTCTGTCTCCACACTGGCTGCTGTGAGCAGTCTGTCTAGCTGGCTGCCAGTGGAGCTGATCTGGCAGGCAGCCTGCTGTTGGGGACGATGCCTGATTCCAGAGATGTGTGACAGCAGATAGTGGATCGGTGTTGTCTGTCTTCTGTGCCGCCTGCCTCTCTGTCTGTCTCTCTGTTTGTAA